GGTATGCTCCTCCGTTCTGTCTGTTGATATGCCTCCCCTTCTCTAGCTTCCTTGCTTGTGTGAAAATTGTAGCATCATCTTTGTCCTCCTCCGTTTCTGTTGATATCCCCCCCCCCTTCTGTACCTTTCGCGCGTGTGTGAAAATTGTAGCATCATAAAAAAAAAAAGAAAAAAAAAATGTTGCATCATCAGTCTTCACCCGGATAGAACACAACATCGTTATGGCTGTATCTAGTCTGGAAGTGCCCCAGAAGACAGTTACAATGAGGGGGCGTTCTATTGGGTGAACACGGTAGTGGGCGTGAACTGTGTCTTCTCAGGAACAAAGCATCGTTGCCTCTTCGCTTCTGCTTCTCTCCTCTTATTATAGATCTTCCTCCATCCCCTGCTTCGCTCCTTGAATAAGCTGAAGAGGGATAGGGAGGAAGAGTATGAGGAGAGAAGATCCTTGTCGCAGACAGAAATAGACACAACCAATCAAAAACCACAGATGCACTGGGATTGGCTCGATGGTAGGCTGACGCCAGTCTGATAAGGTTAGCAGGGATGTGATAATGCGGCAAATCAAATGGTAGTCTTCCCAGCACGTGCTGCCTCTTGGCAGAAGAGGTTTTTTTTTTTTTATAAATAATTCTGCAGAACTAGTCAAGTAGTTCAATTTATGGATGGGTGGCAACCCAACCGCAGGTCACCCAACCGTGTGGCTGGATGGTACGCCGATCGCCGATGTGTAACCGTTGATGAACAGATCATGGGTTCAAGTGCCGGAGGAATCAGATAGATAAAAGTTAAAACTAATGTGCCACCCCCTTATGCCCCCTTTATAGCAAAAAACTAACGGCAGACGGATTGGACGTCTGAAAACTGAAAATTTGTGGGAAACACGCAATTTGCTGCTCCGCAGAGGTTACATCCTTTTTTTTTTTTTTTTTTTTTTTTTTTTTTTTCCTTTTCTCTTTTCCCTTCTCTGCCCCTTTCTGTCCTTTGTAGTAGTCTGTTTTTTTCTTTTTTTTTCTTTTCTTCTCCGCTCGTAGTCTACAGTTGATGTTTGAATCAGAAAAGAAACAGAGATGTTTGAATCAAATATATTAGAGACAAGTAGGCACCCACTGACATTTCTTTTCATGTCAGAGTTACCTGCAGAGCCCACAGCACTTTAAAAACAGGTCAGGCCCGTCAGGGGCTGTCCTTCAGGACATCCGTTAGACCACTAGCCCCCCCGACGTTGGAAAGTCGGGGGGACCGGTAGGCCGAGATTAGTAATTTACTAATTTGCCCTCCGCCTACCAGTAGTACAGGGTGGGCCTCACTTCATTCTTGTTTCTGTTTTGTTTTTGTACTCTGCAAAAAGAAAACGAAGACGAAACTGCAGGTACCACCGCATTTCGTGCCCCACTCCACTGCCCCTGACACGCATGGAAAACGGAAATGATTGTGGTGTATATTTCCGTGTTGTGCTGCAAGGTTCACCGCGTGGCTTTTTTTGTTGTTTTTTCCCACAAAAAGAACAAAAGAAGAACAAAAGTGCAGCGCCTCTTTCAAAAAACAAGCGCCTGAATTGGAAACCGCACGCCGACTTTTTCTCAACTTCAACTGCCTTTTTTTAAGTTTTTTTTTTTTTTTTTTTTTCCTGTTTGTGGTCGCTGACCCCGCCGTTCACGGCCCTAACTCCCCGGAAAATCTACTTTAGGTTGACGGGGGGAGGGGTGGTTTAAAATTGGAATGGTAGAGAGAAAGGCAATTAGCAAATGGCCCCTGTGCAAGGATGACACATAAATCGAGAAATGGTACCAAAAAAAAAAAAAAAAAAACCTGCAGGTTTGCTCCTGCATCAGGCTGCATGGCTAGATAAGATGTTTTTAAAGAAAAAAAAAAACAGCCGAGGGGCCTGCAGAAGAAAAAGAAGAGAACACAAAGGCACCAGCTGCGGTACGACAACGGCTATGACAAATATTAAACCACCAGTACTTGGCCCATACATCGGCTATGCAAAGTTCGGGCTTCGGGGTACCGGACCTCAATGGCTGGAAACGCCAGCCAAAAAACATTGAAACGGTACCCTGGCGCTTCGGCAAAAATTGACGTGCAGGACTTCTCCCTGATGCAACACGCTGGGCCAGCACAGTCCAATGAACAAGCTTAGAGTGGCCTCCTGGAATGCAAGGGGTTTGGGGGATTCCAATGACACACAAAAATGACCCTAGCTCAAATCCCGGGTGCACCAACAGCGCGCTCAGGTCATCTTGATTCAGGAGACCAAACTTAATGAGGAAAAAAACAAGGATTGTGCCTGGAAGTGGCAGGGTCCCCAATTTTGGGCCCCTGCAGACGGTTCAAGAGGTTGGACCGCGGTTCTGTTCCACAAAGATTTAAAGGTGGCAGTGTTGGATGATTTCGCAGACTCTCTAGGTAGATGGGTATGGGTAACGGTAGAAATTGAGGGCACAGCCTGGACTTTCTCCTCGATTTATGCCCCAACGGACAGAAGGGAGAAAGTGCAGTTTTTTGAAACCTTACCCCATGTGCTCCCCTCATCCCCGAACCTGGTGTTAGGGGGTGACTGGAACACGATAATCGATCCGACTCTTGACTCTACTTCCAATGATGGCTTTCGCAGTGATTCTTTGGCGCTGGGTGTACTTATGGACTCCATGAACCTGATTGAGCCTTTTAGGCAGATTTACCCGGAATCCAGAAAATACACTTGGGTTTCACATAACCCTAGACAAGACGGCTCATACATCAGATTAAGACTGGATTTCTTCCTGCTAAGAGGTAAGCCTGCGGAGTGGGCCATGGAGGTAGTCATGCCTTTTGTCTCCTGCTCAGACCATAGACCTGTCATCTCCACTTTTGTGCCAGACAAGCACATGGTTAGAGGCGAAGGATATTACAGGCTAAACACTGAAATACTAAAGATGAAAATTTGGTATTATCCATGCAAAAATCCTTACGGAAACTGAGGGGTATGAGACACTGTTATGCTTCAGAGTTGGACTGGTTGGAAGCCGCCAACAGAATGGCGGCAGCGGACCTCAACTTCGTCTCCAGGGCTTTTTTTTTTTTTTTTTTTTTTTTTTCAAACAATCCTTGCAGTGCTAGCGGTGCTGGTTAGGACAGACACTGCTATCACCTGGGGACAGGCTCCATCTATTGGTGGGGAGCATCACCTGCTGGAAAACGGGTCCAGCGTCCCTACTTCGCCTCCAGGGCTAAAGCATATCTATCACGCAAGGAGGAAGAAGCCTCTATCACCCAGATAGAGTGGGCAGAGTCCAATTTGGATGGGGATCCTAATTTTTCTCCCTTTTGGATGACTCTGCGTAATTTCTGGGTTGATAAACTTGACAACATTCTAACTGAGAAGGAACGGGTATGGGCCAATAGGGCCAGGATTAAATGGATAGACGTTGGAGAAAAAATGACCAAGGAAAATTTCAGGAGATTGTCCCAAAAAAAAGGGTCCTCCCTAATTATTGAACTGGATCATCATTTGATTCCTTTGAACCTCGAGCTAGAGACACTGAGAAAATACTAGAGTACGCGAGACTTTACTTCAAAGACATTCTTACCTCCTCCAGACAAACCTTCCCGAATCCAGGGGATGAGGCCCTTCAAAACGAAATGTGGAGGTCTTTCACTGTCCGCCTTCCGACCCAAGGGAAGCTAGATTTGGATCGTCCTATTACGATAGAGGAACTCACATGCACCCTTAAGGATATGAAGAAGGGTAGGTGCCCGGGCAGTGACGGGCTGCCCATGGAATATTACGCCACCTTCTGACCCATTCTGGGCCCTGCGCTAATCGACATTTTTAGTAAAATATTGGAAGGGGAAGACTTAGGGGAGGAAATGCGACTGGGCATCATATCCCTGCTTTATAAAAAAGGCGACAAAAGGAATATAAGAAATTGGAGGCCTATCTCGCTACTTAACACCTCATATAAACTCCTAGCTAAAACTCTGGCAAACCGTTTGAAAAAGTACCTCCCTCTTTTAGTGGGGGAAGAACAAGCGGGGTTTGTTCAGGGTAGAAACATCTTGAACAATGTTCTCCTCACCATAGAAGCCTTGGAACTAATAAAAGAAGACCAGCCGGAAGTTTTTGCTCTACTCTTGGATCTAGAAAAAGCTTATGACAGGGTTAACTGGGATTTCGTGCTCGACACGCTGAGGGTTGCGGGCGTCGGCGATGTCTTCGGCCGATGGGTGCGAGCCCTGTATACCAGGGGCCTAGGAAGGGTGATGGTAAATGGTATGATCTCGGAAATTTTCCCACTGTCTCGGTCACTAAGACAGGGATGTCCCCTCACCCCTATGCTGTTCGTAATTCAGATGGAAGTCCTCTTATGCATGATTAAAAACAACCCCAACATTCAAGGTCTTAGAGTGGGTGGGGACCGTCAATGTAAGGCGTCGGCAATGGCTGACGATCTGTTTGCTCTCTCTGCTAACTCTCATTCTTCCTTGATGGCTCTCAAGAACTGTTTGGGCATCTACTCTAAATTTTCTGAAGCTCTTGTGAACTGGCCCAAATCAGTTGCTATTTTAAGACGTGATACTAACTTGGCAGTTAACTGGGGTCTCAAGTGTCTGCCAGCTGGAGATTGCGAGCGTTTTCTGGGCGTGCAGGTGTGACTTTTGGATGCCCAACGACATGCAAGCGCGCTGGTTGAAAAGAAAGTGGTTTCCAAGCTAAGTCAAGTTTCAGCCATCAAAGGTATTTCAGTTCTCGGAAGAGCTCTGTTCCTCAACACATCAGTGTACTCCCTGGCCTGGTTCCCCGGCTCCCTGAGAGGGTTGGAGAAGCAGGCATACAAAAGGATAAGGTCACTTTCTATCAAGTACTTGTGGAAGGGTTCTTGTGAGGAGGAACAAGGGTACATAGCTAAAGTTGCATGGAGAAAAGTGATTGGAGATAGTAGGGATGGAGGTCTAGGCATTCCAGATCCGGAACCGCAGATCTGTGCCTTGTTAGCTAGATGGGTGGTCAAGCTGCTCACAGAAATGGGTGACCACCCCTGGAAGGACTTGGCAATCGATATTCTTCACAAGGAATGGGCCCTCATCCTTAGGGAAGATGTGTATGTTGGGCTTATGACTCCCTCCTTCGTCAAGTCGCGTATTAAGTCTCCAATATGGAAGGGCATACTGGAAGCATGGAGTAGGATCATGCCCTCAAATTTATCCACCCCTGTAACCAGAGAGGAAATTCTGGCACAGCAGATTTTTGAGAATCCAGGTATCGTAGACAGGTGGGGGCAATCCTGGTCGGCGGCTGAGTCTCCCGGGCACTTCGGTCGTTCCTGAATCCAGCACAGGGTGTCCAAAGTGGCAGACCTGTGGAATACAGAGTTAACACAATGGAGATCCCCTCTGGAGCTGAAAACCAAGCTGCACCACTTGAGAGAGAAGTCCCTGAACGTGTTCATCTTCTCATTAATAGCATCCCGGAGCATTGGAAGGAAGTCTTGAGATCCCCCATACAGGCCTATGAAGGCCAATGGGTTAGACATGAGTCGGAGGAAGGGATCCTTCACATTTCAAGGGTCGAGGCGATTCTGGATGGACAAAACGCAGTTATTGTGCAGGGTTCGCTTTGCTCAAGTCAGATAGGTTCCGAAACTCAGATCACTCTCCCGGAGGAGATGGTCTTAAGTTTGGACCCGAAGATTGCCTCGGTAGTAGTGAGAACTAGGACAACAGCCGACAACAAAAAAGTTTATAATTGCCCGGTAGGGACGGAACCGGCACACAGGCTTCCTGTTCTTCCCCTACAGTTTGGTTGGAAGGACTCAATCTATCTGAAGAGTGCCAGCTTGCTGGACTACAGTCCTAAAGTGGGTTACATGCAGCAAGTAAAATTGTCTCATGTTGCCTTTGAGGCCAAGAATAGGTGGGAGATGGAGGCCAGGGAGAGATCCGGCCCAGTCTCTCAGATTACTACTGCCTCCTTGAGAAAGCTGTGGAGCAACCTCCGCAAGATTCCTTCAGTTAAGATGAGATCTATGTCTTGGTTACAGTCCCACAGGGTTGTCCCCACAGCCAAATGGCTCAGGGATAAACACATGGAGATCGACCCTACCTGTTGCAGATGCAGGAAGAGTGAGGAATCAGCTATTCACTTATGGTGGGGTTGTATAGAATCGAAAAGAATATGGGTCTGGTGGGCTAAGCTATGGGATAAATACGTAAGTATAAAAGTAAACTGGGACGAGCAGTTTGTGGTGGAGGGTCTCTTGACCAATGCTGAGGACATTGGTCAGGGTTGGACCTACGTAGCCACGGCCTGCAGGGCTGCCATCATGCAGGTCATATGGACCCTGAGAAATGACAGACTCTTTAAGAATAAGTTTCACTCAGATCTCTATACCATGAACATGGTGTTGTGCAGCGTCAGACGACTCATTTGGGCTGACTGGAGGAAAACCAACACGGCTATGAACCGTAAGAGTGCAAGAATGAAATTTTTCGGGTCCTGGGGTGACAGGGTTAGGATGCTCAAATCCACCGCTCGGGGTATCAAGATCGAGCCCTGGTTAATGGGTCCTCGTCCCCCGTGA